AACTATGTGAAATCTCACCCCCTCCTCCCATGTGTAGGGCGTTTAAAACTTGGCTCTACAAAATATTGTCAGACCTGAGGAAAATTGAGGTGGAAAATTTTAACTGCTGTGGTTAAACAGTAGACATAAGAGAGGGTTCACGGTCTCATTGAAATTCCTGAAACTATTCAACAGTTGACAAAACATAGCATCATTTTCATTGAGCACTGGGAAATGTTTTCTTGTAACACATTTAAGACTGTCACTACAAAGTAAAGTTTTGGTAAAGCCCAAAAACTTGGGTCCAAGTCCAACCCAACTTAAATTTTGTGAGCCAAACCCCTCTTAAAACCTATTTTTTACTATACTGATGGTATTAAACTATTGAAAGATAACCTGCCTTTTTTGATTAATTGATGTGTTTTGGTGACTTGGGGGCAGCACCACAAGCTAAAAACACAATACTTACATATTATCATCTTATAAAATTGTTTTGGTGAATATGTTGGCAAACAGGCTACCTGCCATTGTAAATCCAATATTCACTCTTATTTTAGCTCTGTGTTGATCTCCAACTCTTGAGAGAAATATCTGGCTATGGGTAGGTAGTGTAGAGTTTGTTGCAATGAAACAGCTGCTTGCTGTGGCTGGGAAAAAAAGCTGATGACAGCGGTGCAACTGAACCAAAATATCAAACTTCGGGGGCCATAGAAACCAGAACAATGAGCTGAAAGACACTAAACCTCCATAGAGCTGAGAGGAACTGTAGACTGTTGGGTGATAAATGAGTGACCCCAGTCATTTGATCCATTATTAATGAATAAATATTGTGTGTCAAATGTGAGGATGTATGGCCTTTTCTGTTTCACATCACAATGAAAATAAGAATCTTAGTTCGACTGAAAGTCAATGTCTTACTGTACACTCTATAAGGAGCCATAACACTGCAGTCATTAGTGTCTCTTTTAAACACTGCCACAGGTGTGCTGAAAAGCGTCCACCTGTCAGATTAAGACCATTGCTGGCCATGTCCTTGACTTTGTTGTGTTTCCAAATACTGATATTCAGAAACATTTAAGACAAATTATGCTGCAGAATAAAGCTGAGCGTGCTAATTACTAAAACTGAGTCAGTTTCAGTGTTTATTCACAAGATTCTGTTGAGTTCTGTCTGTTCTGTCTGAGTGAAAAGCTCATAGTCAATTCAAAATACAAGCCACTTCTCTCTCTCTCAACAACATGTCAACATATTTAGGCACAAGATAGAGGCATGAAACACCGACTACCCAACACACACTTTGTGTGACCTCAGTAGGTTAGGTTACTATCACACACCACATTAGACCTTACTTTATTTCCCTACTATGTCATTAGACAAAGCGTCCATCCCTCACGACAAGCATGTCCATTCATACCCATTAGGATGGCAGTAAATAGCTGGAGCCAACCGTGACTGGGGCTAATCCGATTGCTTGACACAATGGACACTCAGGACAGACAGATCCGCTAGCAGCCAATGGGAAAAGGAACATACATAGACAAGCTACACATCACGATTATAGGAAGGCAATTGGTCACGGAAATGAAAAGCCATATCATTAGCTGGTTTAAATGAGAGTCACACACACAAACTCCATGGGAGCATTAAAACACAAACTCTTGTGTAAAAGATGAACACATACGAAGTCAGATCAAATCAATCCAATTTGATAAAGCTGTATTAAATCTCCAATACACACAAACACACACACTCCACACACACACACACACACACACACACACACACACACACACACACACACACACACACTTTCCCATAAAGCATACTCACGTCACGCACGCGCAACCAGCCACCCTGCGCATAAGGGCAGATATGAGAACTGGGGAGGTCAGAAGTTCACGAGGGGAAGAAGCCATGAGAGAATCCCTGAGTCATCCATCAATGATTTAAAGTGACTACAATGAGACTACACTTTCACACACACTTGACGTCAGTATTACACTTTTAATGAGAAACCACCTCCCGTATTAAGAGTCATCGAGAAAATTCAGGCACTAATAACATTTTATAAAGATAACAATGAGTCAAGTCATAAAGATCATATCTAGAATATAAAAAGCATCCATTGGCCATATGTGATCTTTAAACATTATAAAAGATACTGAACCACTGTTGAAATTATCTTTAAACACAATAAGAAGATTTCTACACACACACACACACACACACACACACACACACACACACACACACACACACACACACACACACACACACACACACAGTTTAAAAACAGATACAGATATCCAAAGAACTAGAGGTCCCTCCACAGAGCTTTATACAGCCTTGAGACACACCACCATCATTAAGACAACAGATTAATTCTTCTGTTCATTCCTCCAGAGCAGCCAGCTGGGTTTTCCCCCACTAAATCCCACTCTTTCTTCTCTTTCTGCATATATGTTTTAAGATTACACAGAGGCAGCATTAGTTGCGTACATTACACAACAGTTTGGTCAGACAGGGATAAAAGGGAAGGTAGGAAGGGAGGAAAAGATAAAGGAAAGCAAGACAAGGAATGAAGAGAAAAAGAGAGATAAAAGAGATAATGATTATGTATAAGAAAGAAAGAAGAAGAAGATGCTGTCTTCATCAGCATTTGGTGTATATAGCAAAATTATAGAAGGGTGGATTTTCAAGTATATATTATTATATCATACAGCCATAAGATATACAGCTATTAGAAAAGACCTTTTGAAAACACTTAACATCTGCATGTGAAAGCCACCAAGAGCTTCAATGGTACTCTTTGTTTAAAACTACATACACACTAATGACCAGCAGAGATGTACACATGGAACACAAACACACCCACTTTTCATATGTTATATTTAGTCCTGAAGGGGACCTAAGTGCCAAACCTTACAGTTGGGTTCAAGGACATTTTATTATATGTCAATCTTTTTGCATCCCTTTACAAATCCACTATATATATATATATACAATATTCAACAACTAAAAGATTCAATAGACATCTGTAATCAGCTTTGGTTGGTTGGTTGTGGGCTATATACATAACCTGGAGCTGCAACCTGAAAATGAGATGCATGTTGTGTGCTGGTTAGGTTCAGTAATCAACAAAGGGAACTGGCCTGAACAAACATGCAGCCAGAAGTGCAGGCAGGTGCTACCATCAGCCTCTTTTCCCCCTTCTCCAGACACACAACCTTTGTGGTAGCCTGCAAAGGAAGGGTCTCCTAAGGCCAGGGTCACCTCCCTGTAGACCACCACAGCTCTGCTCTGGCTCCCAGATGTTCTCTCTCTCTCTCTCTGTCTCTCTCTCTCTCAAACTTAAATGGACCGACATATAGCATCGCTATGGGCGATAACCAGCCACAAAGTGTGGATTTGTTTGTATGGATACACAGACTACTTGACCTGTAAATAGTAACTACTGCATGTGTTTGGATGTTTAGTCTTTATCTCTTTATCTAATTGCCCTGTACAGTTTACAACAGTTATATTGTTTGTTTGTTTGTGGATTTGTGTTGTTTTGGCAACTGACAACCTTTTGACAACACAAGTCCTTGTATGTAGAGTTGGCCAAAAAATCTGATTCTGGTGTGTGTGTGTGTGTGTGTGTGTGTGTGTGTGTGTGTGTGTGTGTGTGTGTGTGTGTGTGTGTGTGTGTGTGTGTGTGTGTTTGTGTGTGAGTGTGTGTGCGCGTGCATGCGTGTACACATGTGTATGTCCCCCAGCACACATATGTGAGTCAGTGCCTGTGCACTTGTTGAGTAAATGATCTATTCCTGGATCTGTCAAGGAAAAAGGGGGGGAGTTGAGGCGGACCGTTTGGATGCTGATCAGGATAGACGTGTGTGTATGTGCGTGGTGGTTGCTGGTGGAGGAGGGCAGTGGAATCCACACCAGACCATCTATTATAATGACAGGAAGCAGGAAGTACAACCCCTTCACAGTCACATGGCTGCCAGCTGTCTTGGCAACTAAAAGAAGGAAGATAGAGATGATGATAGGGAGTGTGTGTTTGTGCGTGTGTGTGTGTGTGTGTGTGTGTGTGTGTGTGTTATATATACAGTTTATATATCTATTAATTTATTTATATTCATATATACATTTATATATATATATGTATGTGTATGTCTGACAGTCAGTTTGTGTGTAAAGCGTGTAGGTAGAGTAGCATTTGTATGTGCATTCCTACATGTGAAGATGACATTTCTCAATGGTATATCTGCATTTGCAAAGAGAACAAAGGCTCAAAGTTCAATTTAGTGGAAGAACTACTGTCATCCATCCAAATCTCCATTGTCTTTCTCCTCCAATACAAACATAATCAAATGTATATGCCTTGAATTTACAACCGCCAACGTTAAGCCAAATCCAGTGCAGGACTAACCTCAGTTTTCACCATATGGATGTGTTTAGTAACTGCAGCTCAGTACAGATGTGCACGCCCTCTTGCAGAGACACACATAACCTCACACGCAAACGCATACATACACACAGATGAACAAAAATACACATTTTTTTCTTGTTCATCGTTTCTTCCCAGACCAAATAGTGATGGAATGAATGACAGCTCTTCCTATTCTGGAATACTAAATTGGCCATAATGGTAATATATACAATTTAAAAAATTAATGATTTAAAGAATATGTAAACACACATGCACAAATATATATTATTGTGTGCATACTACACATACTACACACATAAGGAATCATCTTAGCCAACTTTCATCTGTCAGCCTTTAAGTCACTCCAGGTTTACATGTAAGCTGTGAACTGGCTAACCGAAGGAGTATCAAATTCAACCTCACAACGACGACAATCATTGCAACATGAAACCTTTTGTTGCTTCTTGTGACCTCTGGTGCCACATGGACCGTGAAAACAGCTTAATTCTTAGACTATAGATCATATGGAAGAGGAGTTACTTATGCACACACACACACTCACACACACACTCACACACACACACACACACACACAAATACTCACCTTCAGATAGGTGGGCCGTGTGTGGCGTCTGTGTCTCCTTGCTGTAGGAGACCACCTCTTTGGGAAGGAAGTCTACCTGTGTGATCTTAGAAGCCCCAAGCCTCAACATCCTGCGCCTGGGTAACAGAGACAAGATGTTCCTATTAGCATAGTTACATTGTGAATTAAACCAAATTGTCCTACATATAATACAATATGTTTCCATTTGTATCAAAGCAGTGAATAACATGTAGGGTCTTGTGTCTGTAGCTCAATATTCAGGGCCATTAGAGTAATTGACCCTTTATATGGACTATTAAATTAGACTATTAATAAAGGCCATGCAATGCCAAATAAGATGTATTGCAGTATATTTTTTTTTGTCAGACAGTGAACAAGAGCAGAGAAGGAAGATATACCCGAGCTCAGAATCAGCTTGCAGCTGCAGCACAGAGGGGTCTGTGTCCCACTGCAGCGTCCTAATGTCACCAACAGGGTGGGGTGGGGGGAGCAAAAGAGGACATGCATGTTTACAAACAGACACATTAAAACAAAGACACAAACACTGGCCCACATGTATGCGCGCACACACACTCACCCACAGACCACTTATCTAGAGAACAGCTTAACACAGGAATTCCCATCGAATTTCATGCAGGCGCTGTTAATGGAAAAATGTTTAGATAAGTGGATATAGCGTGGGAGAGCTATACATTAGGGAGACATTATATTTCATTACGTTTCAATGTACTCTGATTATTTAAAGATCTCTGCTCATCTCTTGTAATAGATTTCTTGGTCTTCTGCCAGGAATCTACAAGATGAAAATACCAATACATTTATAGACAAAAAATGTTCCATTGTTGTGTGGAAGGTCAAAATGATTTGATTGTCTTTCTCATCGGCAGCATCCAGTTTTAGCAACGTGTATGACATTAATGTTGTTTTTTTATGTTTGTATGCCATAAGTCTAAGACATTCTGTGTATTGATGTATCATATGCAAATTTGTGCCAAAGGATATATGAAAACCACAAACAATGTACCCAGCAACATGATGATTTCCACCTCACACCCATATCACAACATATATCATCTATGTACATAGTCACATGATAACATTCAGCGTATGAAAATCAAAATAAAATGCGTTTTCAAGGATCAACATACATGACAAGGTAGTTGCCATGCATGATCAACGAGATTGACACACCACGAGGAAATTGCTAAGCTCATTCAGTGCATTAGCATGGTTCTCCAGCAGTTATCCAGCTTTATATTGGGGAGGTGGGAATCGCTCGCTTGCAGGGAAATCAAACAGCAAGTGAAACCTAGAGAGTTTTATGGTAACTTGGTTGAAATGTACCAGCTGTGAAAGGATACCGCTTCTAACACCACTACACTTTTTGATGATACCTTTTAGGGCCAGTGAACACGCCCATTAGACCTTCAGCTTGTGCCACACAGAGCCAGGTGAGAGTGGCAAGGCATTCTTAAGCCTGACAGAACGGCTGTTTTACAGTAACAGCGATGACACTTTAAGCAGCAGATTGTCAACTCTGTGAAGGCTGAAATGACTTGTGTGGCTCAACTCATGCAAGGGGAAATCTTTCGAGCTGGCATTTAGGGAGACAGTGGGGCTTCAGACAGGCACAGACAGGAAGTCACCAGAGGAGAGCAGAGGAACGAAGCAAAGAGGGGCACTGCGCCGTTTTGATCTTGTAAATCATGATGGGAACACATTGCTAAGACCACTGACAACACTGTGGGTGGCTCTCTGTGTTCACATGAGGGCAAACTCAACTAAAGAAAAGAGGGGTGTGGGGTTCCTGGGTTTGACGTGAAAATGCTTACCTTGAGCTCTGTGCTTGGAACTTGTTTTTAGAGAAACCTGACCTAAGAAGGGACACACACATACACAGCCACAAATGGAGAAGCTCAAAATGGCATGCCATCATCCAGGGTGGATTTGGGGGGGAAAACAAATATTTCATTCCAGGCACTAACTCACCAATTTGTAAAATCCAATTTGTAAAAGCTAAAAAGAAACAAAAAGTCTTATACAGTATAAGATAATTTATTTCTGCTAGGGACTTTATTGAGTTCCCACACATTCTTCATCCCCAATTCCACCCCTGGCCACACCAGAACAACACATCACTAATGACCCCTGAGGGCATCACTCACACACTGACCTCTACAGTCAGATGCCATTAAAAAGCAAATGGAAAGCACTTGATGACCACTCTCTTCTCAACTGCGAGTTTAATTCACCAGAGCAGCCATGTGTAGAACTTAAAGGTAAATAGTTGCTCTACTGGTCTAGTGTGTTATGGATATGTAAGCATTTTCTCTACTCTAGGGAACAGTGACAGAAGAGGAAATTACATTTTGTCACTTGTGCTCAAATCAGCTACATGCCTTAACAAATATAAAAGTGTAAGGTGAATGCACATTAGGCTAATATTCCATTAGCTTGCTCACTAAGGCTGCTTTCTGAGGTTTCAACCAAGTAATAGATAATATCTGGCTATTTGCATATCTCGCTCTCATTTTCAAACTAGCAACTAACAGACCTTATCTCAAGATCAAATGAAACTTCTCAGGACTAGTTATGAGAAGCAATAAGCTGTACAGTGGTCATCAAAACACCAGATGCCATGAGAAGTGACAGATACAACATTGAGGCACCTCACCATCAGTGCCACTCATCCTTACCTAAACCTGTTGTGCCAATGACGAGAAAGGAGACAGAATATATGTCAAAAGTATCCAGAAATATCCGCAGCCCAAAGCAACCTCACATTTTTATCATTTTTAGGCCACATGATTCTTTCGAGTTTAAGACTGGGGCACTGCAAACAGTTTATGGATAACCTCTTAAAAAGCATGCCCGGTAAGAGTGAGCAAAACCTTCTAGTGTTAGATTTCTTTCACATGAGTATCTAGTATTTCTTTTAGCTTTAGATTATAATGTAAAAAGAATGTGCAGTATTGTCAATGAGCTTTGGAGTTTCAAAAAGGATCTTTCTTTACCAAAGCCCAAGAAAAGGCTACAAAATGTTTGGTCAAAGTTAAAAAACCTTCTGACATTGAACTTGGGTAGGAAGTGTGTGGTTTGGACCTACCTGCTTGCTGCTCCTCCATCAGCTGAATCCTGGCTCCCCGTCTCACTGGGCGTGCTCACTGATTTGGAGGGTGACACTGGGGTCGGGACTAAATAATGAAAATAACATGAATCTAACATTAAAGGCTGCAAAGAATGGACTGCTCAAAAAAATTGGGATGAAAAGAAATGAAGTAAAACGAGTGATGGACAAATAAAATAAATGATTAAAAGAAAGGAGAGGGAAGGCAGGGCATCAAACGCATTGTTGGTTTTGTATTTATTATCAATTTGTGCTCAGCTTTATTTGCAGATGCATTATAAATAACTTAGGCTAATAACAGGCATAGCAGTGACCCAGTTTTGAGGTGTTTAGGGTGTTGTTACAACTTCGGACCACTAGAGAACAGTGCTTCCAAAAGCTTGCTGGAAGTGACAGACACCCTGGGGATTCAACCTACACCAGTCTATCAGATTTGTGCACAAGTAAAGGGAAGACATTTTTAGATCAAATGATTTCTAATCAATTATTTCAATCACATTTCAGAGTAGTAGTAGATATAGTATTCCTGTCTGAATATCCTATTACAAGATGTGATACACTCAAGGTACACAGAAAACAGAAAAGGATGATAAAAGGGAGTTATTATTAAAGTGACACATCAAAGTAAAAATGTTCAGCACAGTCCAAACACAACATGCAAAAGAAATCATGGACTCAACATAGGATAAAATGTGATGAAACCTAATAAAATAGTATGTGTGAAAAAGCTACTATTAAAAAAATAAATTAAAACATAAGTACTATAATATTAAGAGACATGGAAACACAGATATTAACCTACTTTAGTTAGCTGATGACTTTATTATCAGTTAGGCAGAAATTGGACTGAAATGTTTCAGCAAATTACATTAAGTGTGCAGTGTGTCCATCTTAGTTGTAACAGATTACTAAAACTTTTGCAGTACAATCACAAGAGAACATGGAAAAAACCTTTAAAGATTCATTTATTGTTTAGGGTAGAAGAGTATTATGTACCCAGAGGAGGCTCCGGTGAGATGCCGATACTCTGTAGGAGGGCCTCGGTCTCCCTGCGCTTACGGTCTAAGTCTGAGTCCTCTGGGGTCATCTCTCTCTTCTGCTGGCTCTCTGACTGCTCAGAATACATAGAGAAATGTCAGCTGACCCATCACGAGTTAAAGAACAAGTTAAAACATGCACATGTAAGCACATTTTGATCAAAAATTCCAACACCAACCTTCTGCACACACATAGATGTTTGTATGCATGTATGGACACACACTACCTCATCCTTTTTATGTGTCACGGCCTGACGAAAAGCAATCGAACACACAAACAATACACACAAGAGTGCAATACAGTATGAGTGCCAGTTGTGTGAACTTACTCACTTTTTTCCTTACCTCTTTCTTCTTCCTCTCCTCCTCCTTTCTCTTTTTTTCCTCCCTTATTTGGGCGAGGCGCTGCTTCTTGCGCTCCAGCTCTGCTTTTAAGTCGCTTTTGTCCGACATGATGTCCTACAGGGCTTCCAGGGAGGAACAGGATCGAACAGGAATGAGCTACTTATGGCACTGTCACAATATGCTCTGGTTTCATAGTTACATGATACTGTATAGAAGAGTATAGGTTTATCCAGTGAGCCTTCAGTAATGCTTCAAAAATCCTAATGGGTGTGGCAGTAACAAGGCTATATTGATACTGGAAAAACTGCTGTCAATACTGGACCATACTGAGCAGAGGGGGATTTCCACATTTGTGTGACACTTTTACCTATTGCCTAAAACTAGTCCAGTATATGTAGGCTATATTTAGGCAGACATTGCTTCTGTTCAGTTTCTTAGACAGATCATCAGGGCTATCAAGAAACTCACCAAATCCAATAAAAAGTCCAATGTACATAATAATGTGATGACAATTTCATTGGAAAGACCCCAAAGTTCAACACTTCTATCGTCACTATTGAGGTGTAGTGAACATACAGCAAATACTAGTTTAGATTGTCTTATTAAGAAGATAATTAATCCTAAAAAAACGGACAAGACCTATTGTTACTATCTTGTATCAGGCTCACTGACGAGGCTGGGAGTTAGTACAAAAAGGTAGGCTACCTATTTATAGCAGTCTGCACAGGGACCAGTGATTTGCTGGTATTAGGCCAGTGTCACATCCTCAGACACAGTAAATGAATAGAGGGCACTTAACCCCGAAGGTTGGAAGCGTCTGCCAAAGCTATTTGGAATTTAAAAATGTGAAAATAATAAATGTGCGCCGATATAAAATAAAAAACAATGGAACTGGCACATACACTGTGTACCATAACAGAAAAAATACAAAGTCACACAGATAAATATGCATTCAGGAAGAAAAACAAACGCTTTAACTGACATTAGCAGGGCATAAATACATTAGCAACTAGCTAATCACACATTTGACAGCATTTGTACTTAACGTCAGTGCGTTTGAGGCCTTGCCATAAATACTATGGTAAATTCTGGTGACGAATAGCTAACAAAAAGAGGAGTATTTTATCGTAAATAACCGTATACTGCACTGTTATTGTTTCACTCGTACCTTGTCCACTCGCACTGATAATGATGTGTCACCCGGCAAAGATGCTGTCTCACTGCTGCAGCCGAAAGAGAAAAAAATCAACACATCCTCTACCTAAATCTCACTGAATCGAGGTCTCTCGGGTCCCACCGAATAGGTCGTTTAAACCTTTTCGTTTGGCTATTGATGACACTGGTTAAAATAGAGCATTTCAGCGGTGGATGACCCAAATAATACATAAAACAGGTGCACCGCACGCCGACACATCCCTAGGAGGAGTAGGATGATGCTGAGAAGGAGGAGAGGAAATCCCACCTCCTTTGACACGCACTGTCACCGTCTCCTGGCTGTTGTAACGCCGCCATCTTGTGGCCATTTGGAGAAGTGCGTTGGAGCGGCCGAAACTAACAAATAAACAAAGGTTGATACATGTCTTCTCAGACGTTGCCATACAATAATACACTGTGTTTTTTTAAGACAAGTAAACAGGCTTTAATTCGTCGTTAAACACCAGCTGACTTATAGTTAGCGGCCTGTTAATATAAGTTAACGTTATATAAGCTAACGTTGCTAAGAAGTGAAGCGGCGAAGGTTACTACTGGCAGTTGAGTACGTTGCAACGGTTGTTTCAAATGTAACTGTTACCGTATTTAACGCTAACGTTATATCAGTTTGTTAGCTCTTCAATTTAGACGTATTTCCGGTAGCTCGTCGGTAGGGGGTGCTGTAATAAAGGTTTCTGTTATTTTACTGCACAGTTTGGGTTGTGAAAAACAACAACCAGGGGCCCTTTCAAAGGGAATACATTATTCTTCCTCCTCCTCCTCCTTCTTCTTCTTCTTCTTCTTCTTCTTCTCTATTAAATGCACATCAACGCTTGGCTCTCATTGGTTGACGTTAACGTCAGTCCAGCCGCTTCCCCGCCCAACAACAATACACATCGCTCGGTGTTGGAAGTTGCATCTAAAGGGCATTCAACAATTTGACCACATGGAAAAACAACGAGAGGAAAAACAATGGGGAACTCGCATTCTGCATCCTTAGAGATATCCATTTAACGAAAGGTTTCTTGTGCGACGCCGAGCTTTAGCATTGCTAGCTTAACAGCCGTCAGACTGGAGCGTCCTGAGGAGAGAAAGGACAGTCTGTCCCTGATTCACTGAGAGTCAGGGTCCGTAGAGGAGAGGGAAAATGAAGTTCGCTCAGTTTTTGCTGAAAAATGGCTCGGTTGCTGGGATACCGAAACTAGTGGAGAGGTTTGCTAAGTTTTCTCCCTCTCCCTTGTCTATGAAGCAATTCATTGACTTCGGTAAGTGTTTCGAGTAGTGATTGTTTTTGTCGGACATTGCACGTTACTCTCCAAACACTCGCATGGCAGTTGCACAACTCACGTTATTCTCTTGTGTGTGTGTGTGTGTGTGTGTGTGTGTGTGTGTGTGTGGTGGTCGTCGTGACAGCTGACTTTGCGCTATACAGGTCATTGGCAATAATAATACACGTGCAGACTGATAATATGTCTTTGATTTGACCACTTGTAACTTTTGGTTTTGATAACTACACACTGTGACCCCATGGACACAGTTGGATCCTGCAGTGGTCAACAGAAGAAACACAAAATAGCTGATGTGGTTGATCTCTGCCCTGACCTTCGCAAGCTCTCATGTTTCTGCTAACTCAGCAAAAAGCAAGGTCTAAGGAAAGACCATGTCCTCAAATATTAATGGACAGATTTCCTCTGAATGTTGCTTTTTAGGAAAAGTTGCTGTTTTCTCTTTTTTCTCTTTTGACAGAATGGGGTCAAAGTTGGATGCTTGCTCAGTCATTTATTTCCCTATCTCTGTCCCTCATGTGACTGCAGGCTCAGCCAATGCATGTGAGAAGACCTCTTTTGTGTTCCTGCGACAGGAGCTTCCTGTCAGACTGGCCAACATCATGAAGGAAATTGATTTCCTCCCTGACAAGCTCCTCGGCACCCCATCCCTAAAGCTCCTCACCAGCTGGTAGGATCTCAAGAATACGCTACATTTCTCTGTCAGGGGGTACACACTGTGGGAATGATTCAATCTGAAATGAAACCGTGTGAAAGCAAGAGAGAGGAAAGCAGCATTAGGGTGTATAGAAACTGGAGTGTCATTTATTTTCAGGTTCATCATGTTAAACAAGGTTGCACACAGGTCGTGTCTGGGTCATTTAGGGTCTTCATCAAAGCAAACGTCCCTTGTATTCCAGCTTTCTCATGTTTAGCTTCAAAGGGGAAATACATCCATAGATCTGTACGCAATTTTCCACCTTTAGCTTTGGTTAAGTATAGGCTTACAGCTGTGATCTGATGAAAACATTGCTACTGATGTTGTGAAAGCCCGTGTGTGAGGTTTTGTCACAGCCTGTTCAATTTAGATCCCCTCCCACCTCACCCAGCTGTTCTCTGTGCACATGCTGGCTACATACCATTGATCTGGGAATATGCTTTATGTCTTTGTCTGAATTATTGAGGCCAACCTCACTACGTGTTGCCACTCTGGTATGTTAGTGATAGAGCAGCCCAGGTTTTATGATTGTGAGGAATGCATGCTTCCTTACGCCACGGTCAGCTGTTTGTGTTTGTGGTCACAACTCTCAGACAGGTAGAGTTATACCAGCATGGGTGAATCTGTGTCCACATGCCCATCTTAAGGTACATTCTGTACATGTTGTAAATATTGTTGGTGCACCCAAGTACAGGTGTGGATGTGTAAGAGAAATTATAATTATGTCTGTTTTAGGTTTTCAGCTGCTAGTAGAATAGCTGTAATCATTTTCACTTGTCCTGATGAGATAAAATGAAACACTCCCTGGATGCATGTGACAGGGTTTCACTGTAGCACATTTTGGATATTGAAATCAACCACATTCTCCTGTCTTTTGCCTCCAGTTTCTACCGAATAAGTGCTAAAGATATACGGCTAGTTGTAGGTAATCTTACTACTTAAAGTTTGTTTTTCCATCATAGCTGCTACTTCCTGTTAGCCTCATAGTATTCTACTGTAGACTTCAACCTAGCATGTTGATTATGTTTGGCATATAAGTCACCTCAAAGAAATGTTAACAACAAGGTCATTACCCCACCCCCACTCTTTTTCATAAGAGCAGTGGTGTCTATATTTGGCCATGCACCTCCTGGACTGTGTCTTTGTCTTCCAATTACTGCAGATCTCGCTGGATTTTCAGCAAAGGTGTTGGTTTATCACTTGTTAATGTTGTTGACCAGGGTAGTGAGGCAAAGCCTTGATATTTCCTGGCAAGCTTGTGCAACTACAAGCTGCAAAATATTCTATTTCAAGATGTACATCTGTTTGCATGGCTGGACTTAATCCAAAATTCTAGAGCTGAAGGTTAGTTGAGGGACAAACTGAGCACGTAGAAAGCGTTAAAGCCACCCTGCTGTTCACCTTTCACCCAGTTTTGAGAGAGACAGCGCCCAAGAGAGTGTGACTCAATGAGCTCAGCACTCGAGCCTTCTTCATCCACCAGCCTACAGATAAAGTCTGGAATAAACAAGCAACTATTATCTAAAGAGAGGACGGTGTTAGTGCTAATCATGGGGAAATGCTGTATGCCTTGTTACGCAGTTGTTAAACACATTAGTTTAAATGTCCTAAACACAGTTTCACATTAATGTAATCACAAGATTCTTTCATTATATTAGATCTACTTTGTCATCCTGATATACAGTGAATTAACTTAAGTTGAGTGTGTTTCTATGTTTTCTCTTCAAATTTATCCTTTTGTGTCTGCCAGGTATTCACAGAGTTTGTGGGAGCTTGTAGATTTTTTAGAAAAAGATCCAGATGATAAAGATGTTCTGACGAGGTAAGTTATTGCATATACTTTCCAGCATATTGCTTTGTGTAAATCTTCAGAATGTCTCTGTCTGGTGTGATCAGACTCAGTAATTCGGACGCCTGAAAACCTAATGTCTGTTGTGTAAACAGCTGTGGTTGCATCGCTCATGTTCACATGCCATGTTGCACAGCACCTGGAAACCACTGTTGGACTCAGAGATAGAAGGTTAATTACATTGTCGCTGAAACGGCTAAACTGTTTCAGCAAAATCCAACATGCTCAACCACAAAGAGGAACCATTCATGCAGATCAGAAACGGCAATGATTCCTTTAATTTGGAGTAATTCATCTTGTTTATTCGGCACACATTGTAGACATTTAATCATGTACTAGGTTCTGTTAAATGTACTGCTACTACTACAATTGAATTAGTATTATTAGAATGAACCCTGCTGTAGCCACCAGTGGACAATCTACTTCTGCAAACAGTAGGTGTCCCTTTTTGACTGCTTATGCGCCCCTGTTTGAAGTAGCTCCAGGCTACAGTAAATAATGGATAGTCAGCGCAGGATGTTGTGTCGATTGGGAACAAAATGGAAGGAGGATCAATTCTGATTCGAATACTAGATATTGGATATCGGTACAGCCTTAGCAGGCTGGTGCGTGCGTGCATTTTATGTGTGTTCACATTTATGGCAGGGGAAAATATTGATATTTATCATTGCAATAAAGATGGTATACGTGTCTTTGCCCTCAGCTTTGTACAGACTCTGGTGAATATCCGTAATCGGCACAACAACGTGGTTCCCACCATGGCTCAGGGAGTGGTGGAGTTCAAGGAGGCCTTTGGCGTGGACCCCGTCACCAACCAGAACGTCCAGTACTTCCTGGACCGCTTCTATATGAGCCGCATCTCCACGCGCATGCTCATGAACCAGCACAGTCAGTATAGCACTCAGTGACTGACTGTGAGTTAATCAACACAGTTGCTCACACTCGAAGCTTGTGCCATTTAATTAAACTCAAAGTGCTGTTTATGCTCGAGAGCTAGCATTTAAGAGTGTGGACCCGATAAAGGTCACAGCACATTTTGTAATATTTTTCTCTAATATGATTAAATTTGATAAGATATTCACAAATGTACATCTGTAAACTGTGTGTATACATTTGTGTGTTTTCTTTTTTTATTCACACACACTTGTTGATTTTGTGCCCTGTAGCATTAATCTTTGAAGGCAGTGCGAACCCTGCCCATCCCAAACATATTGGCAGCATTGACCCCAGCTGTGACGTTGTGGAGGTAGTAAAAGGTAATGAATAATCTGGATGTGTTATCTATTTTACACCACTGTCTATACAGGCAGACGTGACTGTTTGACCTTTTTATTATCTGATATTTTTAGAGTCAATATAGAGAGTGGGAAGTGGAAACATCATGATGTGCATGGCTGTAATAGACCCACCTCTGAATGTCATGTAAACTTGTTTGTGA